AATAATAATAATAATAATAATAATAATAATAATAATAATAATAATAATAATACAATTTTTAAGAGGCTAGGTGTAGAGTACTTGCATCATGTGTGAGGTCCTAGGTTCAATTACCAGAACAGCTAAAAGAAAGGAATAAGCAAATCACAACAAAAAGCAACAGAACACCAATTTATGTTTACAGAATTGGAAGAGTTGAATGGATATAAAACATTAGCCAATAAACAGCGCATCAGCTGAGAACAAGTTGTCAGAGTAAGGCATTCACAGTCTTTGCAGTTCCCAAAGGAACCTAAACATTAATTATCTTTAGCCTTTGAAGTAATAATAGATTACATAACTTCCATATAGACATGGAATATAAACATGGAAGTTATACTTTTTTCAAAATTTTTTGTTTGTTTGTTTTTGGAAACAAAACAGGGTTTCTCTGTGTAGCCCTGGCTGTCCTTGACTCGCTTTGTAGACAGGCTAGCCTAGAACTCACAGAGATCTGCCTGCCTCTGCCTCCCAAGTGCTCAGATTAAAGGCATAAACTACCATGCACAGCTTTAAAAAGATTTTCAACTTAGAATATAACTATATACAGATAAAAATCTTGTCCCAAGAAATCAAAGCGACACATATTTTCAAAGACAGGGGGGCCACTTAGAAAAACTGTTCAAATGGTAAACCAAAACCTAGGCAACAAGCTTCATGCCATAATCAGAGAAATCAGAGAACAAATTTTGTGGCAGCTTGCAAGCTTTACGCAAACAAACTGAAATCTGTATGTGTGCACATGTGCATGCTTGTTTGTATCTGTGAGTGCAGATGATGTGTGCTCAAGTGTGTGTGTAGGTCGGCAGAACCTCAGAGATTGGTCCTCACCTTTAACCTGTTTGAGACATTCTCATTTGCTACACACCCCCAGAAATACACACCAGTCAAGGTAAGTTCTATTATTAAACTTCTATTATTAAGTTCTATTATTTACAGGCAAGTTCTATTATTAAAGAGCAAATAATTTTACACTATGTCAATGTATAGGAAATTTTAAAAGCTTTCAGCAAGTTTGCACATACCTATTTCTTTAAGTGGCAGGACTTTTTCCGCTCTTGGAGTCTGAGAGCCCTGCCCTCCTTTCTGGACATCCGTAGAGTACAACTTGACTCGCTTTGAAATAGAAATATGTGGGTGACTGTTGGGAACCATGTATGTAATGCTCCCAAATGTCATTAAATTCTTCCATCCTAAAAGAAAAAAAAAAGTCATTTTAATTTCAAACATTTAACAAATCACATGCTTAAATTTCCTAATTTATATTGATATGGAAACTTTTTCCTAATTTATATTGATATGGAAAAATATATATGAGACCAAGCAAAACCCTTGATATTCAATTATTCCAAAAGGCATTTCACAGTACATAAGAGATATTCTTATTTTGTATGCTTGTTGCATTTAGGAAAAAAAGAGAGAGAAAAAAAGGCTGGTATAATATATTTTTAGAATAGTAGACTCTGAGTCAACTTTGGTCAGAAGGGATACTCGAAATTATCCCATGAGCTGAAGATTTAGTTCTTTCATATTACAATCAATAAATGATTCCTATTAGCAGTCAATCCTGTTGTCTCTGATTTTTAATCAGATAATTAGATCACAATTTGGTGAATGCCCCAGTATATGGAACTTTTAATTGAGAGAATAAAAGACACAAAGCACTTTAAGTATTGCATCTTGGTTGACAGTGGCTTTTAGACTGACACAGAAGGAAAAGGGACTCCATAATTAAACTGAAATGACAGAAAAAGTAGTGTCTACTCTCCTAATCTTTTATGTATTACTGTGTATTCTCAAAATTCCAGTTTTTCAAAGAACTCAAGAACTATTTAGATAAAATTTATACTTTCTAAGGTTTTATATGAAACCAACTATGTCATTAGAGATAATCCAGTTTTTCCAAGAGTGAGTGAGTGGGCACTGAAGAGCTGACACTTGGTCAGGAGACACAGCTCAGCCCTATGGGGTGTGGAGGCGCCAGTGTCTACCTGCTGACAACTGAATTTCCCAAACACAAACTGATTTATGCCATATGCATGAAGAAGGCTTGTAAAATAAAGTCTCTTCTTACGGTTCAGGGATTCTGGCAAGAAGAAGTCACTGTGAGCAGTGTAGGTAACTTGAAAGCACGAGGGATATGACGCATAAGCTCTCAGCCAAGCTATAGGCTGCTCATTTATTTTGGAGGGAAACTTTCTGATGTCCATTTATTCTTAGTTTATTTGGCAAATTGCTGAGGATCCGATGCGGTTTTGCTTATGAGTATCTATTTCTAAAAGCTAAGTGAGGAAAATAACAGAAGAGGGTTCCTACACATTGAGACATGTAATGGACCAACCTGTCTTCTTCACTGTGGCCACTGGTGTTCCTGAGGCAGAATAGGAAGACTAAGGAAATAGGAAGGGAAATTAAGGGTACAGGAGATCACACCACTGATTCCAGTACTTGGGGAGGCAGAGGCAGGTGGATCTCTGTAAGGTTGAGGACAGCCTGGTCTAAATACCAAATTCCAGGCCAGCCAAGGTTGCATACTGAAACCCTGTCCTAAAAATAATAGTAGTAGTCGTAATAACAACAATAATAAAATTAAGGGCTCATAAGGGACTAAAGCCCTGTACCCTGAGATCTACTTTGCCTTTCCTGCTGACTGAGAATTAAAAGAAAATTTTCAGCACAACTGATGTCAAAATTGCCTATAATTTGTGTTTACCTAAAAACATCTCAAAATACTAAAACAACAAAGTGCCTAAACACATTTCGGGCCAAATGTTTGTAACCTCAAGTTTTAGCACTCCTCTCATCCCTAAATCTGAACAGTAAACCTCAGCACCACTTAGGAAGGGAGGCTGACCCGAGAGGACAAGATGGCTCAACAGAGAAGAGCACTAAGAAGCATCGGCAGAGTGCTGTCCCCTAACCTCCGTGAGTGTGCCACGCATGCTCTGATATTTACACACGTCAGACACAGCCGCATGGGAACAGTAACAACACATAACTTTCTAAAAAAGAATTCTTTAACCAGTTGTCACAAACATAATTTTTTTATATGTGCATAGACCCAAACAAGGTCCATATACTGTGCCTGAGACCTCTCCTCTCTTGATCATTTTTAAAACTATTTTTTTAATTTAAATTCTTTAAATATTGAATAAACTAAGCTGTTCCTCTTTATTTCTGCCCTAGTAGTCTTCCTATCTTGACTTTATTAACTGAATTCCCATGGCAGTATTTAACTTATCCTATGTGTCCCGCAAGTGGGTGTGTGTAAAGGCTTTTTCTGAACTCAGCTGATGAGAACACCTTGGAGTGTTCGCTTATTCTGGACTGGGATTGTATCTCAGTAGCAGGGCTCTGGGCCCTGGGTTTGGTCACTAGCAGAGTTTAAACTCTAATTATCTATTTTTCTGTATTTATGACAATGTTTACTGTTGCTCAATGCTAGAGAGATTATTCATTAGGTAGTTTTAAAACTGGAGCATTCTGATTTTATCACCTCTTCTCACAGTCGGAATACCTTCACAGAGATGATTCCCACTCTGTGGTCACTAGCAGTACAGCTGAAGTCAGCCTTGGAGCTTCATTCTCCCCTTTTATGCAGCAACTCTCAAAACAGTGAGTGTACTGCCTGGCATACTGCAGTGGTGGCACAGTTTTAGCTTGCGTGTATCATTACAATTCCAGATTTCAGTGAGATTTCAGTCACCGGCTTGAGTAACACTTAAACGGCCTTTTTTCTGGCCAGCAGAGGTCTCTTCAAACCCTTCTAACATTATACAGTTATCTTAGATAGCTCCTTTGCTAGCTGTCTGAAAACATTTAACATGTCAGGTACTAACAGCTTTCAGTACACCTTCAGCATTAACACACAACTGAAAACTGCTTACAGGTCCACATCTCACTCAAGAAAACCAATATAATACCTAACACAGCAACAAAAAAAAATATAATCAATCATCTCTAGCAGGCAAAAATAGAGTAAAACATATTCCTAATCTTAACACCCTTTCTTCAAGGTGACATCTAAAATTAGCTACAAATGGAATGTTAGTTTTTTGTTTGGCACTGACTGCTCTACCAGCCTGAATAGAGTTTCCTCATTGCTACACACCTAAGAGTTGTTTTCATCTAGGTTGTAGCTACTGGTATCTTCCCAGTTTAGTCACAACAGTCAGGAGCCTGGTCACAAGTGTGTCTTCACTTTGCTGTCACTGCTTGCCCTCTCTCAATCTAGTTTCTCATCTACTTATTTACTTTGGCTTTCAGAGAGAACATGACTTCCATTTGAGACTAAGAGCAACAAAAAGCAACTATTCTCTTCCCTGCAAACTTATAATGCAGTCTCTCTGATGTATGTTTCATCTGCACTAAAAGGATATCTTGTGGTTTGGGTTCATCTCTAGCTCATTTTAGGGCTTGAGTCAAGGTTGCAGCCCATTGACTATAGGTCAGTCTCCTTACCTAAGAGACTATTTCAGTACTTTCTTCCCTCCAAATTCTAAAGCACTGACATATCTAATTGCATGGCTGGAGGGATAGCTCCATGATTAAGAATACTAGCTGCTCCACAGAATCAACTGCCTCAAGGGATTTACAGAGATCAGGGAGCCTGCAGCAGTCTGACCTAGGTCCTCTACATATATATTATGGCTGAGTAGTTTGGTGTTCAGTGTGGGACTCCTAACATAGGAGCTGGGGCTGTCCCTGACTCTTTCTCCTGCTTGTGGAACCCTTTTCATCCTATTGGGTTGCCTCATCCAGCCTTGATGTGATGGTATGTGACTGATCTTATTGAAGCTTGTTGTGTCCTATTTGGTTGATGTCCATGGGAGGCCTGCTCTTTTCTGAGGGAATATGGAGGTAGGTGGATCTGGGGGAGAGAGGAAGTTGGGGGGGGGGAAGACTAGGGGGAGGAAAGGAAAGGATGTAATTTGAGAGAATTAAAAAAAAAAAAAAACCTTTGCTTGTCAGATGAGGAAAATTTTCCACCTTACAATGTTACATGAATAAGACTAACTCAATATGGTTTCAATCACTAAAAATGTACTTGGTAAACTACAGAAATTACATTTAATTTTTATACTACTTTCTCCTTTTCTATATTTTAAAAATTTGCACAATAGGCTAGGTGTGGTGGTGCATGCCTGTTATCCCAACACTTGGGGAGGCAGAAGCAGGCAGATCTCTATGAGTTCAAGGCCAGTGTGGTCTACAAAGTGACTTCCAGGACAGCCAAGACTATGTAGAGAGTCCCTACCTTGAAAAATCTTTTTTTTTTTTTAACTTTTAGCTTTATTTATTTAGTTGTTCCCTTTATATCCTAATCATAGCCCCCATCTTCCTCTCCTCCTGGTCCCACCGGGGGAGGGGGAGGGTCTTAAAGGGGATGAAGAGTGGGTCAGTGGTTAGGAGCACTTACAGAGGACTGGGGTTAATTCTCAGCATCCACATGGCAGCTAACAATCTCTGCAACTCCAATTCCAGAGCATCTCATATCCTCTTCCAGCTTCCATGAGCATTGCACACATGATGCACAGACATACAGGCAGGCAAAACATTCATATACATGAAACTTTAAAAATAATGATTTATGGGGCTGGAGAGATGGTTCAGTGATTAAGAGCACTGCCTGCTCTTCCAAAGGACCTGAGTTCAATTCCCAGCACCCACATGGCAGCTTGTAACTGTCTATAACTCGAGTGCTAGGGGATCTGACAACCTCACATCAATTCATAGAAAATGAAATTAAATAAATTATCAAAAAATAATGGATTTATTTTAGAAAAGATCTTATTAACAGCACTGTCAATTTGTGACAGTTGGTGTAATATCACACTCACCAATCCTAGTTTACTTGTATCCTTTTTGCTAAGCAACACTGTAGGAAAATTCTGCCTACTCATCTAGCAAGCAAAGGTATGAGTAAGGCAGAGTAGCCCAACCCAGGAGGATGTGACTGATACGGTTTTAGTACACAGTACAAAAAAGGCCACCCTTTACTTTTTTTTTTTTTTTTTTTTTTTTGTAAAGCAACAAAAGCACACACAGACAACTCCCTGCATTACATCTTAGATTTTATCTCTACTATCATACTTAATTACTTCAACATTTGCTAAGAAAAAGTAAAAACAGCCTGCAACCCCAAGACTTGGGGATAGAGACAGAAGGATCACAAGTTTGAGGTCAGCCTAGGTTGAGAACCCATCACAACAAATACTATACAAATACTATAACTACAAGTAAGTTTGTAATTGATTAGTATAGTAACAAACTGAGATACACACAATTCTGCTGCCAATCAGTACGAAAATCTTAAGAGGCTGAAAATAAGGCTCAGCAGCTTAGTACTGCATATGCCAATAATCCCAGTTCCATGTGATTCAATGCCCTCTGTCGGCTTCATGTGCACAAATACCAGCAAATACATGGGCATATACTTATGAACACACACATAAACAAACAAAATCATTAAACAAAAAATGAGAAAACTTAGCCAATGCAAGATAGGCAGTGAGCAGTGAAGTCCTTTAAACATACATAACTATACTTTTTCATGTTTGTACAACATTTCTGCACCTCTGTATGCTATTCAACCGTCAATCATTTTCTTGGCCCATTATTGTATTGCTATGTATGCTATCCAATAGTCATATTGATGGGCTGTGTGACTACACACTGGATTCTGCAGACAACACAAAATGGGAAAAAGCTTAATATTAAAAAAATATTAAGAATATTAAAATATTGTAGGTTAATAATATTGATCTATTGTTACTTTTTAAAATATGGCTACCGCATAATGCAAAACTACACTATATATTTTGACTCTTGAATACTGTTTTTTTTTTCTTTGCCTTCACAGAGATTTCTAATTTTTAAGTATTTATAACAGTCAATGTTCTCCTCTTCTGTTTATTCTCTTTTGTTGTTTTGTTTTTCAAGATAGGGTTTTCCTGTGAAGCCCTGGCTGTCCTGGAACTCACTCTGTAGAGAGCAGACTGGTCTCAAACTCAGAGATCCTCCTGCCTCTGCTGGGACCACCATGCCTGGCTTCCTCTCTTTATCCTTTAGAAGCCTTAACTAGACAGGTAAGCGTTCTAGAAGCAGAAACTAAACTTTATTTCTTCTCAAAGAAAATTATCTGGTCTTGGATCCCTGCTCCCCCTCCTCCAAACAAAACAAAACAAAACAAAACAAAACAACACAACAAAGCAAAACAAAAAAAAGAGCTTCAAATAGTTTTTCTTGTAGCATGCAACTTAAATAGCACACTTCCTCCAAAAGAGTTCTAAATTTAACCATAGTTTTGATTGCTCTTTCAAATACTGCAACAAAACTTCCACAAAGAAGGTGACTTTTGAAATCTAGAAGGGTTTTAAGGGTAAAAACATTCAATTTTTTTTTTTTTTGTAGTAACAAACATCCTAAAGAACTCTGCAAAGTAATCCTAAATGGAGAGATAGGTAATTATTATCTGTGTTGCACAGATGAGACAAAGAACATATCATATTTGGCACGGTGACAGGAACACAGAATAAGAATTACAAATTACACTACTTCAACTCATTTTACCAACACTGAAAGTGCAGTCTGGACAACCTTCAACAACCACCCTGTGAACTTCGGTGTAATATGCCAAAGTTTACTTGGGGGTTTTAGAATAGAGTATATAAACAGGCGATTCATTCTGTTCATGATACATAAGATAACCAGGCATACTGCCAATATGGGAAAACTCCATAGCTAGTTTTCTGTCACTAACGAAAAAAAAAAGAAAGAGAGAAAAGAAAAACAAAACAAAACAAAACAAAAAACCTGTAACAGTGTTATTGCAATAAATTCATTTGCAATCTTAAGAGCCAGCTTTTATATTTATTACAAGATATGAATATATTCTACTTTTATCTGTACAGCACAGCAGTCTGTTACAGCTTTTACCACTCAAAAGCCTGAATGGCTGCAGCTTTCGACTTCCACTCAAAAGTTTCTGAAGCCTGAATGTTTGAGAAACGTTTCCGTGAACACTCCTGGCAACTCCCAAGAATCTGGGGGGGGATTTAGTTATTAGTGGATTTGGTCCTGTTCTCTCCTGAGCTGTGCTATGACATGCCAAGCTATGGCAACAGGAGAGGTAGGTAAACAAGAAGACAGCCTACAGGTTTCGTGCTATTTCAGAAATTCTCCAACCACTTTGACTAAGGAATGGTGAAGGTGAAGAAAACTGTCAATTATCGTTCCGCCCAGTTTCAGGAAACCCTTTTTTTTTTTTTTTTTTCACAACTAGAGAATTCAATGAAACTGCAAAGTTCTTTGGGCTTCCAGTCCCCACACTAGGCTCCTCTGGTAACTGTGAAAAGCCCTCAACCTAAGCAGCAGGTAGAACTGCGAAAGGGAGTTCAAGCGAGCCTCGAAACTGGTGGACTCTGTCATTTCCCACGGCCTGTTTGGGTCACCGTGATGGACGCTCAGACCTCCGGGTCTGGTGGTCCGCCTCAGGGTGTCCCCACGCCTGCTGGCCCCCGAGGGGACTCTGTTGCGGCCGCCGCTGGCGGGGACGCCGTATGGGGACCCTGCGAGACCGGCAGGCTCGGGGCTGGGGAAGGGCAAGCTGGCCAACTGCCGAGGCCAGGCGCGGCCTCCGCCGCTCGGTCACTCACCCTGGCTGCGGCCACGGGCCGCCGCCCGGCCGCCACCGAGCCTGCCCAGCGCCGCCCGGCTGCACCTGTGCGCCGCGACGGCGGCGGCCAAGCCCGGAAACATCCTAGCGGGGCCCAGGCCCCCACTGGGACACCGCCTCCTGCCTCCGAGCCTCCGGCCGCGCCAACTGACTCCATAGACTGGATCCCAGCGAACACGGCTGTGTGCGCCGCGGCCGGCGGCCTCGGCGACCCGGAAGTCGGGGCGCGTCGGCGGAAGTGACGGAATACGGCCGCTGGGTCGGGGTGCCGCGGGCGGCCGGGTTCGGGTGGCCGCCGTGCGCTCTCCTGCCTGTGGTCGGAAGTCTGCGTCCCGCTGTTGGCGGGAGAAACAGTCTTCCGCCGAGCTGCCCGACCCCGCGGCGAGGGGAGCGGGAGGAGAAGTGTGGGTCTAAGTTTCTGCCCCCGTGCCTTCTGAACCCGCGGCGCCGCGCCTACCGGTACTGCGGCCGCCTCGCCGATCCCCCCCCCCCCCCCCAACCTCCGCTTCTCCGCTGTGCTATAACGAAATTAGAGGCGTGTGTAAAATGAGAGATCCTGAGACTGTGGGTACTCGAAGATGGGGCAATTTTGAAACGGCCTGGTGTCAGAAAGGAAGAAACCCGAACGCCGTTCGCGTGTTTTAACTATTCCCATGTCAATCAAGTTCATTCGGGTCTTAGTTTAAGCCTTTGACCACTCTAAATATTAAATTAGCGTGGTTATTTTATTCTAAGGCGTTGCCCTGTATACTTTTCTTCAGAACACCACTACCGAAATTACTGTCCCTCGGAATAGAGACTATGTATGTGGATACTACAGCCTGTGCAGTTTTACACCACTATATTCCAGGGGCTCAGGCAATACCTGCCCGACCAATTAAACAGAATGGGATACATGTCCATTTGTTTTAAAGATTATTAACCTAAGTCGCTTAATTAAAGTGCTACAAAATCAAATTTAAATTGGAAATTAGTGCATTAATAATTTTAATTACTACTTTGTAATAGTAGCAAATAGTAAAGGGGGAAGCCAACCACTTTGATCCGGTTTGCGGGAATCCCTCACAGGGGGAAATCCACCTTTGATAAGGTTTAACAGATCAAAGGCCCATGGTATCAAGATCGGAGGCTCTAGTGAAAAACTATTTTGGATTGCAGCTGTGCAGGTAAATGGACAGGATATTCTGGTTAAATTGCCTTCTAAAATAAGTCTGTATGCCCACAGACTAGTACTACTGTCAGCGTTGAATAAAGCAGTTTTTTTTTTTTTCTTTTGCAATGGTCAATGCCATGGTGACTGCAGAAACTTGTAACTGATCAAATAACTGAGAATCAATGACTATTGAATGTGTAGCCATAGATTGAAACATGTGTATCACTCCTTCCAAGTCCCAGTGAACATTCTAGAAGAAAGGGTGGATTAAAGCTTCCTCCAGAAGAAGAGGGAAGCCGTGGGAAATCTTGACTTCCAGCATGACATTGTTGTTGCCCTCTTCAGCTCACACTTGGTGTGATTACTTGAACAAGACTGAGGCCCTCAACACCCTATCATGGAAGGAGAAGGAGCTCCTGGTGTCCTGCCCTTCCCTGAGAATTTATACACAGTGGTTGATGGGGGGGGGGGGAGGGCATTTGAAAGCAAACCTTCACCCAGGTACCTGTAAACAACCCTAAAGAGACTCATTAGATGCCATACATAGGCATAAGCACATGTAAGCAGAATGGAAAGCTCCGTGGAAAAGGGATTGGCGGCAGTGGGCAGAGGACACGACAGAGTACTAGGTATGTAAATATGATCGTAATACTCTATAAAAGTAAATATAAGACCCTGCATTATTAATGTGTGCTCATAAAGGCTAAATAATGAGAATCAGCATCAGCACACGGTTTTTGTTGTTTGGATTGGGGGTTTTGTTTTCAGACAGGATCTCACATTGTAGCCCAGGCTAGCTTGGCACTCACTGTGAACCTGGAGTCACTGCACCCTATGGTCCTTCTACCTTTCACTTTCTAGATCGGTGATTAACTCTTCTTTGGAAGAAAGTGTAAAGTATTTCAAAAGACATTGACATTGTAGTCTTTATTTTCTGGAATGTAAGTCACAAGTGAACATATTTCCCTCTAGATTATTTTTTTGACATTTTATGTGTGGTTATGATTTTAGACTAAATTAAGGATTTATAAGTTGATGCTTAAATGTGGACAACTATCATATCAGGTAGACAAAAATAGAAGTGGAAAATGATGAAGTGTCATTTCATGATTCTCACACACCATAATTCCTGCAAGGTTTTTCCATCGAAGTTCCTGGATTTATCAAACACTTTAAAATTGAGCTGGCTATTCTTGCTTTCATCCTCTCTAGTTCCGGGATAATAATGATTCATTAGACAAACCTAGCTAGCTATCTGGAAAATGGACTTAGATGACTCATTACAAAATAAAGGGTATGGTTCTACCCTGAGGCTTTCCAAGGCTATATATTTAATTCTGAGTACACATATATCTGCTGGAATTTTGTTCTTTTCCCCTTTAGGATTAGTGGTGAAGGACCTTACCCACCTGAACATCTTTTAAAGGCTTACACATGGCTATATAAAGAGAGCATCACACCACAGCCAAGGGTGTTGGTCTCCACTATACAACCACAGTCAGAGATAAAGTGGATCCGCAGACACATTTTATATGCCTAAGGTAAGTCTTTCTCAAATATGCAAAACTGTTCATATTGTTTCAGACCACATTGTTGCTACTTCTCCATTTTTTCAGAGCTGTTGAGACATTTGTCTCCATTCAGCACGAATGTGGTAGAACATGAAATCAGACTCTGGCCCCTCTCACTGCAAATATGTATGTTCTGAAAAGCATGTTGTAAGGCAGGGGAAATGCAAAGGGTGTATCATTCTGTGTACATTATTGATATGTATCACTATATGAGGAGACTAGACGTTGGTATCAGATGTCTTCCTCTGTGTCTACTTTTTATGTAAAATCACATTTATTTATTTCATTCCTGGGCTCACACATATAGGCAAGTACATGGTACAGCGTGCCTTTGGAAGACAGAAGATAACTTGTGCATGTCAGTTCTCTTTCCACAAGGTTCGTTCCAGGACCTGAACTCAGGCCATTTCATTCATAGGTGTGGTGACAAGTGCCTTATCTACAGAACCAGCTTTCTAGCCCCTCTTAGTTTTAAAGTTTTAAATTTTAGTGTGCATGTGTGTGTGTTGTGTTCATGATGGGAGGAGCATGTGCCATTTCACCGTGGAGGTCAGAAGACAACTTTGTGGAGTCGGTTATCTCCTGCCTTGATGTGGGAGCTGAGTATCAAACTCAGGTCTTCAACCTTATGCAGCAAGCAGTTTTACCTGCTGAGCCATCTCCAGAGACTAGATTGGGTTATTCTTACGCATTTTGACTCCATTTATTACAGTTGCTTGTGGGGTATTTTGGTCACAGGTGTTTTGTTTCATAAACGGTTTTAATGTAGCATTTGTAAAAATATGGAACAAAAATCTAGTCTGACCAGATGATAGGAAGTTTTTGAACTAAATTTGAGGTTTTAAATAAGGACTAAAATTATATGCCTAGAATGAAAATTTTAATTACTAAAGGAGCTTAAATTTGAAAAAGGATAGGTGTAGAAAAGGGGAGGCTTCCTGCTTGTATCCTGAAAGTCTCAATCAGGTTAGAGCAGGTTAGAGCTTTGTCTCACCTGATGCACTGAAAACATCTTTAGACTGGGATCGTTTTCCTTATCTTCTTATACACAGGATTTATAGTAAACCCTGTGTATTTACCGTATTTTATAGCATGAGGCATAGATTGTGTGTAGTGAATAAAATAATGGAAATTTAAAACAATACAATTTTAGTTCTCCTTTAATAGCCAATCTTTTATTGAGAAGGATAAAGATGAAATATCTAGGAAATCTCTCCAACTTCTACGCCAGACAGTGAATGTTAATGAACTTCCTCATTTTCTGGTCAACTTCCCTTTATTCTTAATATAAATAAATCCCCTAGGATCCACTTTGCTCTCCACCTTTTTTATTTTCCCCTCCCCTTTTTCTTTCTTTTGTTCATTAGGGCTGGCTTTGAACTGGCAGGAACTCCTGATCTCAGCTTTCTGACTGCTGGGATGATTTCAACAATATAAACAAATTCCTTAGTGTTTTACTTTTTCCTAACACCTCAAACATTCTTTTTCTTGTCTTTGGGAAACTTGCAGGAAATGTTCGTCTGACATCACACATTAGCCTATCGGTTTAAAAAAAGTAGTTGAAATTATGCCAATATTAGTGCTAATTTTAACCATGCTTTGTCTACTTTTGGACATAAGTACCTCTAGAGAAATTGAAGTAAGAAGAAAATCCTGTTCCTGCCCTGTTTTCTGTGAAGGAAGAAGCAGATACTGCAGAAAGGAGTACAAAGCATGGTCTGGTTTTGCCTTTAGAAGATGAGGCCTCAGCTATGCCTGGGAAACTGAAAACAAGCCTGACCACATGTTTGGCTTCATTACAATAAGGAACAAATTCACTGAAGCACAACAAAAGGAAACTTTCAGGAGCCAAAAGATTTCCTAAAGAATTGAGGCACAGGGATGAGGTTAATAAACAGAAACAAACAAAAGGGAAGTTTAAAATTAGGAACTAGAGTTCTTTTTTAAAATTACAAATATAAATTATCAAAGAATTATTACTAAACCCCACATACATGTCTTTGACAAGTTAATTGCAATCAGAGGCCAGAGTACAAAAAATAATTATTAATCTGAATGGTAGCAAGGGGTGTATGTTCTAACAATTAACCTCTACCCCTGGCCAAGTTATACCAAGTCCATAATACAGGCTATACTTCAGGTTAAGGGGCTAGGCTATTATTTACTAGGTCAAACAAAAATTAGACACTCTTAGATGCACAGAAGCATTGTAGATCTTTACCCCTACCTCACTGAGAGGGTAGGAGGAAGTAGCTGGAGGCCTGAGGCGAGTGCAGCAGTCCCAGCAACAGATGGCAATCAGAGGGGACTTGTAGGCTACTGCAAAGGATCCAATACTGGAAGCACTAAAGATTTTTGTGCTGAGAAGACTTGTTGGGAGGATTCAGCAGATCAATGGTTTCTACATCAAAAACAAACAAACAAATAGTATAAAGGGGTAGGCAAAGGCAGAAGCAAGAGGGGTAAAGAAGCTGCTGTTA